AATATTAGTATGAATCAATTCAAAATTTTCAGAAGTAATATTTTCACTTATTTAAAAAGGAATTATCCTTTGCTTTGCTAAATAACACATCACAAATGTGGTCTTTGTTAAAAATAATGAAAGGAAAATACTGTTTTAAAAGAAGAATTCTATCAAATAAAGGGTGTCTTAGCCTATAATGCCATATATTTGAATCAACATAGATAGAATTACAATTTAAAATTAAAATAGGAAGCTTTTGAATTATTGGACTAAGTGTTATTGGCTTCTAGAGTATGTACAATCCTTCTTTAACCTTAGATACAACAATTATCTTATAAACAATTGTACTGTGAATCAGGAAAACATCATTTGTGAAAATTAATTTACATGGAATATTTTTAGTTAATTTTGTGACAGATATGAGGTTAAAATGAAATTTTGATAAATATGTTGAAGAAAAATGTATGATTCTAGAATAAAATGCATACAAGTAACTACCATTTGGCAACCTTACTTTAATTGGAGAAATTTTGTTATATGATCTGTTGTACATATAGCCAGGATCCAATTGGTTAGAGGAGATTTACCATTATTGATTGTGATTATGCAAGAGTTAACTCTTACTTCACTTTCGCTCATTCTATTGCTTTGTTGTGGGAGTAAGGCCAACAAACTATTGTATTGCTCTGTTGTGAACCCAAATTTTCCTTCTTTGTTGTTCTTAAGTTGATGTTCTTCGCTTGTCACAACCAAATTATCATTTCTGCTAGCATATTTTGGGTTCTTAAACTTAAACCTTGGTGGAAAACTATGTTTCTGATAGCAAACATCAATGGTGTGTCCAATTCTTTCACAATGTAAAGAAGTTTTCTTATTCCAATGCATCATATGAAATTGTCCTTTCTTGAAATCACCCATTGTATCAGTAGCAGAAAACATGACTCTAGAATTGAAGACATGTTCAACAGCAAATTGTCATTCTTGTTACGCAATCAATGCAAAGACTCTATTTACATTGGGTAGTGGATCCATTAACATGATTTGTGACCTTACCCTAGAGTATTGTTCATTTAAACTTCTCAAGAATCCTACCATAAAGTCAAAAGTTTGTTCTGCCTTGATCTTGGTTAGTACACTACATGTATATTGAGCATTGCAGGTGCATATTGGAATGAGTTTTAAAATGTCTAACCCATCTCAAAAGCTCTTCATGGTTAATATTTTGTGATTGTAGTATCTCCTTGCTTTAGGTTGTAAATTTCTTCTTGGCGTTATGAGATTTTGAACAAATTTATCTCCAAATACCTTTCATTTAGTTTTTTCCATCCATCTGTAGCTTTATTCCTCCGTAAAATAGATTGAGCAATTTCAACATTCATGGATTTGATGAGCCAATTGAGAACAAGGGTATTGCATCTTTGCCAAAATGGGTATACTGGATGTCTGATTTCTTGTTATGGAATTGTGTTGTCAAAGAATTCAAATTTGTTCTTAGTAGACTCATCTTCATTGCCCTTGCTCAGATATGGTAATTGGTGTCTGATAATGGAGGTGCGACAAGAACTAAAAAGGAATTTTCATTTTGATAAATGTAGAAAAGATTGGATGCATTTTAAGTATCTTGAATTGAATATGAATATTAATCCATTTGGAAGATAAATACACAACAAAGTTTTTATAATATTAAGAAAATAATATTTTTTTTTTGTTGGCCGAGTCTTAGGGAGAATTTTATTCCAAGTAGTTTAGTTGTTTTTGTTTCAAAATTTTAGGAGTTTAATTTCAGTTTTCAAATTATGTGTAATGCTCCTTATTTTATGATGTATCTCTTACGTAATGGCCTATTTAATAGGCACCAAATTATTTTTTTTCTAATAGAGAGAAATATATTTCTCATATTCTGATCTTTATTACTCTTATAAGTCAACATATAAAAAGAGCTTGATAGCATAAAAAATTTATGAATAGAGAGGGAGATGAATTGTGTGAACAAGGTTGGTATTGGGTTTAAAACAAAATTGCTACATTTATTTTAACGTTTAAGTTATTTATATGAGTTTACAATCATTGTTGGAACACTTGTGTCATTTATCTTTCCTTTTTCTTGTTGCCAGCACCTTTACCACCAAAAAATCCTCTGATGAGTTTACCTATTGTTGTTTCTAATAAAATCCTCACTCCTTATGACTGTCTAGTGCTTATTACTTATTATTTTAAATTTTTCATGGTTCTATCTCATTTCTGGAACTAATGTACAATTTTTTTTTTATCATAATTTTATTAAATGATCAATCTGTTAAAAGCAAAAAAGAAGTTTGGAACAATGGAAAATTCTCATGGATTATTGTTCAAGTCACAAATTTTATATATATATATATATATATATATATATATATTCTTTTATTCTTGGTACATTAACCTTCTTTTGTGCATAATTGAATTTATTTTGACCACTTTTGCTATTTGAGGCTTGGTTAAGCCTTAATTCAATTTTGTTAGCATAACACATATTATGACATTGTTTAATATTTTGGTTATAACTTGAGTTCTAGACTTCATTTTAATATGATTCTTGCTTTGTAAGAAAGTTAAGACATAGACCTATGACTCTCACGAAAAGATCAAAGGTTGAATCTTAACATACAAAGATATAATTAGGTCTAAATTGGAAGAGAAAAGAGACATACACATATGTGTATGAGTCATATCTTAATCGACAATTATCCAATTAGACTCATTCTAGTAGAATTTGAAAGCTAAAATTTAGGGATTTAATTCACTTTCAGACCGTAACGCCAAACAGATAAAAATCCTAAACTGAAATTAAGGAACAAGTTACGATTCCTTCTAAGAGATTAGGTTATTATTATTTAGGATATAACTTTCCTTATTATGATATCTTTTCAAATTTCAAATTTAGTACAATATGATTTTTTAAATTTTTATTAAGATTACTCAATTTTAGAATTTTTATATTTTGATTATTTTTTCAATTTTTTAATTTTGAACCTATTAAAAAAGGAGAAGAAGAAAAGGGAAAGATAGATTTACTTTCCTTTTCCTTTGATTTCTTCTTCCCTATTCCCTCAACTTCAAATTTTTGTATTCTTCCACCTATGAAAGAATAATTTTTGTTATTTAATTCAAGTATTTGAGCAAATTTTTTATTTTTAAAGTAAATAAAGTATATTTGGAGCTAAACATGACGTAATAAAAAAAATATTAACTTATTAATTTAATTTTTTATTGAATATATTAATATTAATGTTATATAATTAAAAAAAGTGTAATGTAAAATTAAAATAAATAATATTAATATCAATGTAATATCTTTCTATATTATATAAAATATCACTCATATACTTTTTATTTTAAATGTTAAATTATATATTTAGTCCTTATAGTTAATATTCGTTTATAATATAATTCATGTACTTCAAAAAGTTACCTTTTAGTTTCCACATACATATTTTGTTATATTTTGATTCTTATAGTTACTAGTGCTAACAATATTATAATGGCAGAGAAATACATATATAGAGACTAAAATACAAATATTTTAAGTGTAGGACTAATTTATAAATAAATATTAAATATAGAGATTAAAATATATTTTAACTAAAAATTAAAAGAAAAGATTTTTAGTGAATTTGTCTAAAAAAATTAAAAATAAGCTACCAAATAAAAGAATTATAAATTTTAAAAATACTAAAAACTCATATATTTAAATCAAATATCACTGATGGTTTAGGATTATATATATATATATATATATATATATTTATTTATTTATTGATAAAACTTATTGATTTAATAAATGTATAAATTAATTAAAAATAATAATTGTATTTAATAAAATACTAAGAATAATTCACATATGACAAAAAAAAATTATCATAGTTGAAGAAATATCTAAGCATATTCATCTTTTTGAGTTGATATAATAGGATAGTTTAGATATTTTTTTATCTAATTAATAAAGAAAATAGCACAAATACCAACTAATGAAATTTGAATTGATATATAAAAATTATTTTGGTTATATCATGATAAAAAATTTATAAATTTTATTCATATAATAAAGTTAATTTTCTAAAATTTTGAGTAATATTGTAAATTTCACATCTCAAATATAATAAATATTTTATTTCTTATATGAAAAAAAAATATTTTTTAAATATCGAATAAAAGAATAGGCTTTATTAAGTATTTGATCTCTATAAAAGTTACATAAACACCTAAATATGATACTTAAGTTCAAATTATACAATTTCTTTAAAATTATAATTTGTTAAAATACATATTTGGTTCGATATTTAACATGTTTATGAGTTAATTCATATACTTAAAAAAAACTTACACTTCAATTCCTATACTTAAAATAACTAATATTTTAGTTTTTATATGAATATTTTTTTTATAGTTTACTTTCTTTCGTGGTTAACATGTTACAATTATACGAATTAAAGATTAAAAACTAAAGAGACTAATTTGTAAATGTGTGTTAATTATATAAATTAAAGGTTAAATTTAAGTTTTTATTTTTAACGAAGAACGTTTTTAATATTATAAATATGAATATTTTAAGAAATAATTTTTTACTGGATATTATATCATATATTTTTCTTTTATTAAAAATTTAATTTTAAATTTAATTTTTTCATATTTTTTTATCTTAAAAATTTATTTTTCATTTGTAATTGTTTAAAACAGCAAAATATTTATTATAAATGATGAAAAATATTTTTAAATTAAAATTAATAATATAACATATATTTAAATCTTAATTAAAATTGTAATATAATAATACCGAATTGCACTAGTTAAATTTTAGTGTCTCGATATTGATAGTTTAATACATAATTGCATTTTTCTCGAAATTTTTTTGCGTTCCAACGCAATGAAATTTTCCAAACCGTTGGATCTTAAATCGATGGTGGTTATTCATCCCCATGACGTGTCTCTCGGAAGGAAATAATGAAGGTACAAATACTAGTGTTCTGGGGCGAAGTGGAAGAAGGAACACGAAGGGGGGAACTGAAAGTGCTCGTGGCTTCGCGTTTTCTGAATGGCCAAAACACTCTGCCTCTCTCTACTACTCTTCATGGCGGCGGTGGCGACGTCGATCGCCGCCACAGAAAACAACTTCACTTCCGGCGGGCTGTTATGGTCCACTGCCACGGAAGAATCCGATCTGGCCCCGCCGGAAGATTCAAACTCCGACGGCGGGTTTTCTTCACTCGACGGCATGTTGCAGTGGGCTATAAGTATGCATATCATGCTAGTTTTCTAGTGTTTCTCTCTATATATATAGATTTTAAAAATATATAAGGTCATTTATGTTAGTTTTAAATAATAGTAGAAATTGTGTATGTAGTCATTAAATGTTCATTTAATTCTTATAGTAGCCCCTCAATATGTATTTCATTTATCAAATTATTCTTCTAAAATTCGTGACATGAAAATTAATTTGGTGGAAGAAATGAAGTTCTAGAGTCTTAAGCCAATTTTTTCATCCCTCGGGACTAACATGGTGGGCTATTTTTTTGTTATTTTCTTAAATAGTGAAATAATCGAAATTGTATTTTTAATAACCATTTGGTTAATTGGAACATTCATTGCTATAGATAATATTTTTTTCTTTCCTTATTTTTAATTTTTAATCTTTGCATAGGTCATTCTGATCCCGAAAAGTTAAAGGAATCAGCAGAAGCTCAGCAACAGCTTTCACCGAGTGAGCTACAAAAACGTCAATTGGAAATCAAGGTGCGTATCACTTTCACTGAAACTAATTCAATTAAAGTGGTTTTTTTTTGTGTGTGTGTGTGTGTGCGCGGTGCTATATGTGTTTATTATTCACTTCTGCGATGCATTGTTGGTGGCGATTAAATAGGAAATAATGGAGAAGATAAAGATGCCTTCGGATGCTGAATTGATGAAAATCGCAATTAGTGATTTGAATAATGTGAGTACGTCTTTGGAAGATAGGTTACGTGCTTTACAGGAGCTTCTTGAGCTTGTTGAGCCAATAGATAATGCAAATGGTAGGTGTATATAAATGTTTTCGTATACCATTATGTTTACTCACTTGTGATTGCTGAACAAAGTTTTAAAGTGAGGTCATGTGCTGTTACTGATATTACGAAAAATTGTGGGCAAATGTGACTGATACAGCTGCAATTGCAGTTGCGATGTGGTCATGGAGACCACCAAAGCTGCGATACTGTGGCTACAATTGTGGTTGCAAACCACAATTAAAACCCTGTAGTGTTGAATGCCAATGTATGAGTTTTAACAAATTTTATGTTAGTTGCCTCTTTTGCTCGGCTTTGAATCACGGGTACTTCAATTTGTTAAATGTACCCATAAATTTTTTTTTTTTTAATAATTATATGCAACATAAATATGACCTTAAAGAAACTAAATATGATTAAAGATATAGCTAATTATACCTTAAGTGCTAGTTAGACCATTTTTCTTCTGAAAACAATAACATTTTTTCTTGTAAATTTATAGATTTTAATACTTTTCTCTTCATTTTCTCATATATTTTCTTTATTTAATTAAAGCATTCATCCTTACTTATAAAATGTGTGATATGAGTTTGTTATATTCTTTTATCATAGATATTTTACAGCAATCTACTAACGTACCATACCTATAAATTTTAAAAATTGCCATATTCCATGCCTGTACTCATACAACATAGTTACTCAGGCGTGGGACCAGCTTTGAGACTATAAGCAGAGTTTGGCCAAGCCAAGTGACGTTGTATGATCCCTATAAAGCCGACCTCACCTAGTGGAATAAGCCTTTGTTGTTGTTGTAGTGTTGAATGCTAATATAGTGTTCATATGTCATTTTGGTTGAACTGGCTGCTAATATAGAAATGCTGTAAGGATTTTGTTTTTCCTAATTTTGAAGGATTTGATACATACCCTGAACAGTTATTCTTAACCATTTACCAAGATGCTTTGTAATTTGGAAGCCTCAAAATCTATTTTTAATATTGAGGAATGCTAGCATTATATTCTGTATAAGTGGTTAATTTTTGAAAAAGTCAAACCAATTTTTATGAGAAAAGTTCTTTGACTTTTTAAAAATCCAACCAATCAAAGGAAGTGTGTTAAAGAGTGTGCTCAAAGGAACGTATTACTAGCATTTCTCATTTATTATGTGCTTTAAGTTTTTTAATACTTGCTTTACCTGAAATCGTGTCAATATGGTTTGCTTTTTTATATTTTTTAGCTGAACTTTGGAAACAAATTGAAAAGAAAATCAAGCTGTACCTACTTTCATATTAACGAAAGGACAGAGTGGAAGAACCCAACGTTACACATTTTTCTATCTACTGAATGATATTTCAAAAGCAGATAAATAGTATGTGTTCTTTCTTTTCATGCATCACTTGCTCATGCAGTTCTATAATATAATAGCAAAATTCTTTATATACATTACAAAAGATCAGTAGTTAAGAATCTTTGTCTGCCTTTGTTTCCATGTGCTATAAACTTATTATTGTTCTTTCCTGTGTAATGGTGTGTTTCTGATAGATATTCCATGTCTGTCAGATTTAAACAAACTTGGGGGCCTTTTTGCTGTTGCACAAGAACTTAATCACTCTGATCCAGGTATAAGGACAGTTGCTGCATGGGTTCTTGGAAAAGCTTGTCAAAATAATCCAATTGTTCAGCAGCAGGTATGCTGTTTCTTTGATGATTAAGGAGCTTTAGGAAGTTGTTAAGCATTGATGGGAGCTAAATATTATAGTAATGCTGCCAAATATCAACTGTCCCAGATATTGGAACTTGGTGTACTCTCTAGGCTGATCAAAATGGTAAAATCTCATTCTATTGAAGAAGCCAATAAAGCACTGTATGCTGTTTCAGCTTTGATTCGGAATAATTTAGCTAGTCAGGATTTGTTCTATGCTGAAGCTGGAGGATGGATGCTTCAGGTGACCTACCTCAGGTTTAATATTATTAATTTTATTTTGAAATTACTCTGCAGAAATAGTAACGACACTCATAAATTTTTAGGATATTTTGAGCAATGCAACTCTCAATATCAGACTACGCAGGAAAGCTGTACTTTTATTGGCTGATCTAGCAGAGTATCAATTAGAAAATGTAGACAGTGACGAACTGCCATTTTTTAATGACCAGGATCTATTGAAGTCTGTGGTTGATTTAACTGCATCAACCGACCTTGATCTCCAGGAAAAGGTGATTGTTGACATGGAACCTGATATTTTAGCTAAAGCATTGTCAAAAGATCTGTTCTGTTCTGTCACTAACCATATCTGTGCAATGAAAATGTCCTTGGTCCAGTTGTCACCTCTTAAAAACAATCATTTTGAACCATACCTCTTCCATCTGAATATATGATTGTTCCGTTATTGTATGTTTGCATGTAAAATTTGATCTAATGAGGTTGTTTGATACCTTTATTTCCGTATTTCAATCTATGCTTTCAATATGCCAACAATTTGTCACATTTCTGGGAGATGATAAGCACACTTGTCCAAATAAATAGAAAAAATATTTTAAATTTATATTTGAAACAATGGAGTATTTTCAGTAGAATGAAAGTGAGGGATTCGTTTAAACTAGTCATTTTAAGTCCTTTATTTCAATTTGGTAAGCTGTGCAGATTATGTTTGTGCATGCCTTCTATAAATCTTTCATGCACAAAATGACCCTTTATGTGGTTCATGTTGAGCTTTTGGTTTGGCTTACGGTATTGCTTCTGGCATGTGTCTAGCAGGCCCTTGTTGCGATTAAGAATCTCTTGCAACTAAGGACCACTGAAGCCCGGATCTTTAGGGACTTCTGTGCCTTAGGTGATGCACTGAATAGAATGAAGCTGTCGTTGCATGATTTGATGGTGGATGAGTATCAGAAAGACTATGTGATGGATGTGGAAAGTCTTCGTGTTGAAGTAGAACACATTTTCCATAGAAAGCTGGTAAAATAATGATGAGATGACATCCCCTTAAGGTGCTGATTTTGTATCATTATCTAGTTTCTAGAGATTACTTTTCTCACAATTTTGATGCTGCTGTAGGTAGACGTTTGAGAAATGGATGTTAGATGCATTAATATTAATTTTATAGTGTACAGTACAGGTTATTCCCCATCAATTTACTAGAATTTGGTGATATTTGATTTAAATGTATTCGGTTAGATTTTATTTTGTATAAAATTTGAGTTAACAGATATCTTTTATTAAGTAAAGAAGCATAAACTTAAATAAATACTTTATAAGATAAATTTGTTGATGTGTGTGTGTGTGTGTGTGATATATATATATATATATAGAGAGAGAGAGAGGGGGGGGGGATCATGTTATTAAGATTAACTTGATCACAAAAACTCATTATCAACGGTAACTTATTCTTTATAAATAATAAATTTTGTCTATACAATTGCTGAATTAAAAGATTTTATTCAGTAGATTGAAAAACTCATCCAAGTCAAAAGTTAATTAACATTTCATCAAGTGACTTAATGTAACATATTAACATTTCATACAAGTCAAAAGTTAATTAACATTTCATCACTTTATGTACAATGTAACATATAATATATTTTTTTAATTAACATTTCGTCATTTCCTCTTAAAAAAATGATAATTTGAGAAAACATACACCCCAATTATCATTTTTAATAAGAGGAAATAAGAGAGTGAGAGATATAAATTTGAATTGTAAAACCATACACGGATGTTATAAGATTGGAGAAGTTACATAATCACTTTAAAAGATAGTGACTTTTTAATAATTTTACATGACTTGTATGTTTCAATCTTGATTATTCATGATGAGATATAATAATTAAATTTTGTTCCTCTTCCTTACATGAAAAAAGGCTCTCTCACTAGAAAAGGAAGGAAGTAAACAACTAGTTGATGATACATTGTACAAATAGATCATGGGATCATTAAGGTTCCTATGCAATTCTAAATTTGATTTGGCCAATAGTGTTGACTTGGTGAGCATATTCTTTGAAGCCTCACCTCATTGTTGTCCAGAGGATTCTAAGGTATATATTAAGGACATTGGATTCTATGGTATACATTGGATTTTCGGATTTTGATGTTATGTTCCCTAATATTAAACAATGTACAAAGCAGAAATTATAGGCTTTTCGGATTCAGATTGGTGTGAAGACAAAGACAACCACAAGAGCACTGCAAGTTATATTTTCATGTTGATAAAACACCAATCTCATGGAGTTCTAAGAAACAAAGTGTGGTAGCATTATCCTCTTGTGAAGCATAATATATTTTTGTATCTTTGGGAGCATACCAGGCTTTATGGCTTGAAGTATTGCTTTAGGAGATGAATCTAAGTAAGGAGCTCACCACCTATGAAGTTACTAATTAACAATACATCAACAATTAACTTGGCTAAGCATCCTGTTAGTCATAGCAAAAGAAAGCATATTGAAATAAGGTTCCATTTTCTACAATATCAAGTCAACAAATGTAAGCTTAAATTGGAGTACTGCAAGTCAGAAGAGTAGATTGTTTATATACTGACTAAACTTTTGAAGATTGGTAGATTTAATGAGCTTAAAAACAAGCTGAGAATGTCTTTAGCTTATTCAAATTAAGAGTTGTGTTGGTGTATAATTCAAGTTAATTATTGAGTTGGTTGATAGTTAAAAGTTGTTGGTAGTTACTATTAATGCAAACAACTAAAAAAATTGGCTTTCTCTAAACAACCCTAAATATGTCTATTTTATTCTTGGCTGTAAGATGTCTAGGATCGTGTATCACGTAAAAAAAAGAAGTGAAATAAGCATGCCTCTAATGTTTATGATCATGCTTCATTCAAAACAAATTTGAGGATGACAAAAAAGACATTTGAGGGAAAAAAACAACACTCTAATAGGGGAACTGTTATAAAACATGAATTAAATAACGTGACTGAAATATAAGATAACAAAGGACAATACTATTGAAACAAATTGGAGATGTGGAATTTATTATTTCGAACAAGAGTTGCAAAATGGTTCAAGATTGTCAACTCAATTGCATAATTCTTAAATTAAAAATTGTAAAGTACCTGTTACATATTCAACATGTATTTGTGCTACCAAGATATAAGCCAGACTAAACACCAATTTATTAAATATCAAGGCTAAGATATGAGTACAAAAATTGATCAAGCACTTCTCTTAATTATCATGAAAGATTACGATATTTCAGTTTACATGAGAAAAAGGTAAAGCTTGTTATCACCAATCATAAGAATTTTGCATTTTGCATTGTCACTGTGTATGGACAATTTCAAGTTATTGCTAACCTACTCCAGCATAATTTACAAGCTATTAAAAAGCGAGGCCTTCCCTGCTAGATTCCTAAATAGCTCTATTTTTTTAAAATCTATAGTTTGTAGGTTTACATTGGCCTAAGCCTCAAAATAAAGAAAACAATGGACTAGGGTTAGGGTTAGGAGTGAGCTAGTCCACTTATTTTATAAAATAAATAATTATTATTATATCATTTTTTATAATATTTATTAAATTATTTTATCTAAATAAATTAAAAAAATATATTTAAAATATAAAAAATATTTATTCAATATATTAAAATTTTATCATAAAAAATAATATCAAATATAATTATATTATAAAATTAAATTAAATTTAGTTTTTGTATTTGTTTAATTTTATTAATTAAATTTAATATAATATGTTAATAATTTAGGATTTTAATTAAGAATTAGTAATAAATATTTTTAACTAAACAATAATTAAATAATAAAATAGTATTTTATAAAATACTATTTAATAATCATTTTAATAAATTTAATTAATTCTAGTATGTTTAAATATTTTTTAATAATTTTTAATAATTATAGATTTATTATAGCTTAAGTTTATATATAGTATGATTATTTTTAATATAAATATAAATATGTAGAATCTTAAATGATTAATTTTAATAAATTTTATATAAATATATAGGTATAGATAAATTTTTTTATTAAAAAAATATAATTATTAATATATACTTAAAATTTAATAATTAATAAATATTTACATATATTAATATATAAATAAATTATTAGTTAATTTATCAATTTCTATGTAATATATAAGTATGTGTTTTAATTTATTATTTTTTTATATTACATTAATAATATCATGTGATTAATTTTATGTATATTTATTAGTTTAAAATAATAAATTAAAAATAAAATTAAATATTTTATAATTATTTTTTTAATTTAATAATTAATATTATTGTCATATATATATATATATATATATATATATATATATATATATATGACAATAATACTAACTATTAAATTAAAAAAGAAATATATATATATATATATATATATATCGCATTTAATTTAAAATTTTATATTAAGTTTTATCATAATTTTTCTATTAAAATAAAAATTTTAGAAACACAAGTTATTTTAACCTAAATATAAATTCTATTAAATTAAAATGAATTAAAGTTAAATTTATAAATATTTATTATTCTTACTATATTCACATGTTAATTTTTTGCATTGATAAATTTTATAATATAAAATATTCTAAGTCTATAATTTCTACAATGAAAATGTTTATTTATATTTTTTAACGTATTAACTTTCATTCAGTTGATTTAACAAATTTTATCAGTGTTATTTTTTATTGTCAATTTTATATGTTTACGGTGACTTTATTTATTGAATATAAGATGTTTTTATACAAATAAAATATAATTCTTAGAAAAAAACTAAAATCTATAATATTTTTAATAATTTTATAAAAATAAATTTAGAAAAATAATAGTATAAAAATTTTATAATATGAAAAAAATTTATAATTAATATTTAAATAATATTTTAAAATTTATTTATAAAATTATATAAAAATATTATTATAATTATTTAATAATTGCCAATAATACAGATAAAAATTATATAAAAATTATTAAAATTATATAATAATTATTAATTTTTATTAATTTTATTTAATAGCAATAATTAATCTAAATATTTAATATTATATAAATTTTACTTTTCTTTCTTTTTTTTAAGCAATTTTATTGAATTACAAGTTTATAATAAAAAATATTATATAAAATAAATATTTTCACTAGATATTCTAATAATTATTAGAATACATATATAGTTTCTTCAAATCTAAATTTTTTAAAAATATAAAAAAAAAAATATTTGGCTCACAAAGTCTTGGCCCTAGCCCTGATCCTGTGGGCTTTTTGGCCTTATAAGCATATGATTTGGTAGACTTTTTGGCCCTAACCCACATAGACTAGGGTTAAGGCTGAGGCAAATAGGCTTTTTGACAGCTATTGGTAGCTAGCAATGGAACATGGAGATGTGTAAAATCCTTAGTTTTTTTTTCTTAAAATATAATAATTTCGATTGAGATAAGAAGAATTAGGATGAGTTTATTATAATTATAGTGTGAAAAGATTTTAAAACTTTCATTTTCTTAATTAATTTAAGAATATACGAAAGCCTTTGAGATGAAAAAAATAGTTAATTATAATTGCATTACACTTTACTAAGTAAGACTATACATTAGCAATAAAAATATATATAACATACATTAGATTTCTTTCGCATACAATGTTTAATATGTAAAAGTTATTTTTCATAATACATTAGAACTCAAAATTACATAATTACATTATCAAAATAATCTAAAGTCCTAATGAGTAGTATGGATTCACTAAAAAAAAAAATACCGAGGAAATGATCCTAGTCATTGTCGTCATACAAACTCTCCATTCTCTTCTCTTCTCTTCTTCTCTCTCTCTCTCGTTCTCTCTCCCCTTTACGAATTGTTTCTTTCCATTCATGGAGACTTAGACTTTCATCTAGTTCAAGGATTGAAAAAGGGGCTGAGACACTCTTGAGGATCGGTTTCACAATTTATTCAACAACAAATTCAATTTCATCTCTTCCTTCTTTCTCCTTTTGCTAATTATGATTTCGAATTGAAGTTCTTTGTTTGAATTGATAATTGTGCAATTGTTTGATTACATATTATTCAGTTGATGTATGTAATTAATTCTTTTTGAAGGAGTGTCAATTAGATTTTCAAGTTTGAGATATAAGATTAATGGCATTGGTGAATTAAATTAACACAAATCGATTAGGTTCTAGAGGTTTCTGAACTTTGAGCGAATTGTGTGTTAATCGAATGCATGAGGTTTCTCGTGTGAATGCTTAATTTGAATTGAGATTTCATTCAAATTTAATGTTAATCACTAATTTGTTGGTTGATGCATTTTCTTGGAATCCGATGATAGAGTGGTCGTAGTTCTTCTAAATTCTTGGATTAGAGTTTTTAATTCTTGTTAACTTTTGATTCTAATTAGTGTTATTCTATAAATCAAACCCCCTCTAATTTTATAATCATATAACGTTATCATCGTTGGGAGACAATTCGGATTGCACCTCTTACTACATAATTTTTATGCAATTCAGTTTTTATTAATTTGTCTAAGCGCGACACTCGCGATCAAATTTTGGCGCCGTTGCCGGGGATGATGATATTATTTGATTATGTAATTCTGTGTTAGTGTGATTGCATTGCATATTTTGTGTTGCGTTTTACATCTAATTAGGATTATGCATAATTAGCATTTTTCATCGAATTAGGATTCTGCATAATTCGCATTTTTCATTTAGCATAATTGTGTCTATGCATTCTGTTTTAGTAGCCTTGGAATAGCATAGTAGGTAGTCATTTATCCTTGCTTAGTATTACATCATTCAATTCTCTACATTTTGTGTTGTGTTTCTGCATTTTTGCATTCTGCATTCGTAAAAAAAGTACACGGCCATGTATCTGAACATGTAGATCTTTGTCTAAACTTAAAAGTGACATAACTTTTTGCACACAACTCCTATTTCTTATTATAATATATGCATTTCATATAGCTCGACGAGATCTACACAATGGCAACAGGTCAAAGGCCGGTTGGTGGTTTCTAAAAAAAATGTCTTTTAATTCTTATTTAGATATTATGGCTGAGAGAACTTTTTATGCTAATGATCAAAGAAGAATAGAAAACAAGCTAGATGATTTAGCTTCTTTGATCAAGCAATTGACTTTCACACAGATGGATACAATGTTTTGTGAGATTTGTGCTTCACCTGAACATTCCACTGATTTCTGTCCTATTTTGCATGAGCCTACAAGTTGGATGAGTCATCCAAACTTGGAATGGGAGAATTCTATGCAGCAATAATATCAACCCCCACCACAAAATGTTGCACCTTCCAAGAATGAGCCTTCCTTAGAAGATTTGATAAGGGATATGACAATTAACGATCTGAATTTCCAACTAAGAACAAAAACATCCATTCAAAACTTGAAAAATCAGATTGGTCAGTTGGCAACAACAGTAAACGAGTTGAAGTCTCAATGTCCTGGTAATCTGTCTACACAACCAGTTGTTGAATAAGAGATTGTTACTTTGAGTTCAAGAAAGACCATTCAAGACTTGCAAGAGCAGCAACCAATGGATGAAAATCCTAATGCTACCGCTCTAGGAATTGATTACAGTCCAGCAAGTGCAAAATTTACTTCTACTCCTTATTCTACTGCTACTAATGCAGTAGAAAATTTTGAGCAAACTATTCCTCACTCATTTCATTCCGTTTGCCATATTGATTCGTTAGATAATTTAGTGGATGATAATTTGGCTGAGTTTTCAGATTATATTGATTATCCTAGCTTAGCTAATTATTCTGATTCCTTTACTTGCAATGCATGTAATGATTCTGCAAAATG